CTGTGCTGGAAGAGTTGAGGTCTACCATGAGGGTGCCTGGGGCACCATCTGTGATGACTCCTGGGACCTAAATGATGCCCAGGTGGTATGCAGACAGCTTAACTGTGGAGTGGCCCTCAATGCCACCATCTGTGCTCATTTTGGAGCAGGAACTGGGCCCATCTGGTTGGATGATATGAACTGCTCCGGGAATGAATCCAGTGTGTGGCAATGTCCCTCAAGAAACTGGGGACAGCATGAATGCAGGCACAAGGAAGATGCAGGGGTGCTCTGCTCAGGTCTGTTCTGAATTTACCTATTAAATATCCTATTAAAGGGGAAGGGACTGAGGGAGGATGAAGGCAAGTGAGTGAGAATCACCTGAGGGAAGGTCTTGGGTGAGGTCAACATAGGGCTGTCCAGACAGGGGTGTCCTGAGCGGCACAAAGAGTCCTTGGAATATAGGTTTGCCTTGCCTGTACTAAATTGTTTAGTGGCTCAGGGTCACTGACTTTTTTAGGTAGCAGGATCAAATTCAAGAAATGTGCTTTATAAAAGATATGAGACACCAAAGCATTTTTTAAAATAATGTTTTGTTTCCCCCCAATTACATGTAAAAACAATTGTTTTAAAGTTTTGAGTTCCAAATTCTATCCCTCCTTCCCTCTCCTATCCCCCTCTCTGAAATGGTAAGCAATCTGATGTAAGTTATACATGTGCAATTATGTAAAACATTTCCATATTAGTCATTTTGTGCAAGAAAACAGACAGGAAAGAAGGAAGGAAAAAGAAAGAGAAAAATAGTATCCTTGAGTCTGTATTCAGACAACATCCATTCTTTCTCTGGAGGTAGATAGCATTTTTCATCATGAATCCTTTGGGATTGTCTTGGATCACTATGTTGTTAAGAATATCTAAGTCATTCACCTCTGATCATCATCCAATATTTCTATTACTGTTTAACAGTACAGTTATTATCTAACAGTACATTGTAACTGTCTGCTACAATGTTTTCCTAGTTCTTCTCTCTTCACTTTCATCAGTTCATGTACATTTTTCCAGGTTTTTCTGAAATCATTCTGCTTGTCATTTCTTATAGCACAATAATTTTCCATTACAATCACATACCACAACTTGTTCAGCCATTCCCCAGTTGATAGGCATCCCCTCAATTTCCAATTCTTTGTGACCACAAAAAGAGTCACTATAAATATTTTTGTTCAAATAGATCCTCTCCCCCCAGCTTTTCTTATCTCTTTGGGATACAGACCTAGCAGTGGTATTGCTGGGTCAAAGGGTATGCACAGTTTTATAGCCCTTTGGGCATAGTTCCAAACTGCTCTCCAGAATTGTTGGATCAGTTCACAACTACAACAGTGCATTAGTATCCCAATTTTCCCACATCCCCTCCAACATTTCTCATTTTCCTTTGTCATATTAGCCAATCTGATAGGTGTGATGTGGTACCTCAGAGTTGTTTTAATTTGCATTTCTCTAATCAATAGTGATTTAGAGCATTTTTTCATCTGACTATATATAGCTTTGATTTCTTCATTTGAAAACTTCTGGTTCATATCTTTGACCATTTAACAATTACACCAAAACTTTTTGTGCAAATATAAAATCTTCAAAGAATGAGCTAAAATGTAAATGTAACCATGGGATGGTTATGGTGATCCAACAAAGTTAGGAAAGGGAAAGATCTTCTGTTTTTTCAACAGAGGAAACCAGAGATACTTACATATTGAAATTTTCTTTTCCAGTTGATGGATTTCAGTCTGTTCAAGTACCACTTAGCTTCTGCAGTGATGGTGCAGAATTATAGGAAAGGGACCATAGGGGACTAAGAATCACACAGACTTTGGACTATCTATCTCAACTATATCATGATCATTGATTTAGCCAAGTGTAAGATCTTTGTCTGATAGCCAAAGACTCCAAACACTCCCAGAGCATCTAGACTCCATCCACATTGACATTCTCACTGGGAATTCAATCAGAAGACACAAAAGAAGCTGTAGTGACATAGAAGGTCCACTCACACTTAAGGAATGTCCAGAATGAACTTTATCCAGGGCCATGAGGTGAGAAGAGCCATAATGTCATGGGACCCTTGGTTCTCAGGCAAATATACAGGGCTTCAAAGTGCAAGCAAACTGACCATCATGAAGACACTCACAGCTCTCCACTCTGAAATCAATTGCGGAGGATGAAGTAGAAAAATCATCTGACAAAATACCAAATCCTCTAAACCATGTCAATGTAAACCTGAATATTCTATAATTTTATTGTAAAGGTAGACAAAGGGCTGAGCCTCAAAAGCTTTGTCAGAAAGTGAGGTCCTGCATTTTTAAAATGCAATGCAACAATTGTTTATAGGTGACCAGGAAGTAACATGATATTAGAACATGACATTTGTGGGGGCAGGTGTCACTGCAATGGCAACACAGGGCTCTCCTCCCTGTCCTCTCTTCTCTGTGGAGATGTGATCAACCAGATCCTGTTACAATTAGCTGTCTTTGGGGCATATAGCTTACTACAACAGCTCCTCAGGTCCAGGAGGTGCCCTTTTCTGCTGACTGTTCATATCAGATGAAAGTGCAGCATCTGGGTGGCACAATGGATAGAGCACTGGGCTTGGAACCAGAAAGATTCACCTTCAAGAGTTCAAATGTAGCCCCAGACACTTATTAGCTGTGTGACCCTGGGCAAAACACTTAACCCTGTTTGCTTCAGTTTCCTCATCTGTACAGTAAGATGGAGAAGGAAATGGCAAACCACTCTAGTATTTCTGCCTAGAAAACCCCAAATGGGGTCATGGAGAGTCAGACACAGCTGAAAAATGACTTAACAGCAGATGAAAACTTAGGAGTATTACTTCAATAGCTATTGGTTCCTAGTTAGGAAAATTCCTACCATCAAGACAGAGGTTTGGCATTCTGGCTCTTATTTTTGTACCATATTGCTCTTAAAAATCTTGGTTTGGTACAATTCATAATTCACTGAAACTTCTTGTTTCAGTTAACAACTGAATTAAATTAAAACTAAATTAAAAACACACTAAATTAGTTTTAAAAAATCAATTTATATCTTTACGCAAAAACTTATGTCTGTCTTTGCAAATGACTGTAAGCAGTCATAAGCAGACAATAAATCCTTTACTTTAATCACCATATATATATATTTATACTTATATATAATAATACATACTTATATAATTTTATGTTTATCTTTAGCTAACCTCTGCTGTCTTTGTGGTTGAGACCAAAATTGGGATAAAGGAAATGTTTAGGTTTAAAAAAGCAAGCAAAATATACTACAGTGGACAAAGAAGGGAAGTAGAGGGGAGAACAGACCCTCCCACGCCTATTCATAAGCGGAGAGCAACAACTACATTTGAAATGAAACAGATTTTTCAGTTTTTC